ACCCAGTGCTCATCCCAGCAAGTGCCCTCCTTAATACCCCTCACCTACTTTCCCCTCTCCCCTATCCCCAACAAACACCCCCTCAGTTTGTTCTCTGTATTTAAGAGTCTCTTATGGTTTGCCTTCCTCCCTTGCTGTAACTTTTTTTCCCCTTCCTCTCCTCCATGGTCTTTTGTTAAGTTTCTCAAGATCCACATATGAGTGAAAACATACGGTATCTGTCTTTCTCTGCCTGACTTATTTCACTTAACATAATGCTCCCCAGTTCCATCTACATTGCTACAAATGGCTAGATTTCATTCTTTCTCACTGCCAAGTACTATTCCATTGTATATGTAAACAACATCTTTATCCATTCATCAGTTGATGGACACTTCGTTTTTTTTCATAATTTGGCTATTGTTGAAAGTGTTGCAATAGACATTGGGGTACATACGCCCCTGTGCATCAGCACTCCTGTATCCCTTGGGTAAAGGGCTAGCAGTGCTATTTCTGGGTTGTAGGGTAGTGCTATTTTTAAGTTTTTGAGGAACTTCCACACTGTTTTCCAGAGCAGCTGCACTAGCTTGCATTCCCACCTATTGTGCAAGAGGGTTCCTGTTTCTCCACATCCTTGCCACCATCTATAGTCTCCTGATTTGTTCCTTTTAGCCACTCTGACCAGTGTGAGGTGGTATCTCAGTGTGGTTTTAATTTGTATTTCCCTGATGATGAGTAATGTTGAGCATCGTTTCATGTGTCTGTTGGCCATCTGGATGCCTTCTCTGGAGAAGTGTCTATTCATGTCTTTTCCCCATTTCTTCACTGGGTTATTTGGTTTTTGGGTGTGGAGTTTGGTGAATTCTTTATAGATTTTGGATACTAGCCCTTTATCTGATATGTCATTTGCAAATATCTTTTCTCATTCATTGGTTGCCTTTTAGTTTTGTTGATTATTTCCTTTGCAGTGCAGAAATTTTTTATCTTGATGAGGTCCCAATAGTTCATTTTTGCTTTTAATTCCCATGCCTTTGGAGGAGTGTGGAGTAAGAAATTGCTGCAGCTGAGGTCAAAGAGGTTGTTTCCTGCTTTCTCCTCTAGGGTTTTGATGGTTTCCTGTATCATATTTAGGTCCTTCATCCATTTTGAGTTTATTTTTATGTGTGGTGTAAGACAGTGGTCTAGCTTCATTCTTCTGCATGTTGTTGTCCAGTTCTCCCAGCATCAAGGTTCATTTTTATATATTAAACTAACAAACAGTCTGGGTTAGATTATGGCAGAAGTGTTTCACTCATACATTGCTGTCATATTTTTATAATGTATTTATTTTCGTATAAAATTATTGTCTCCAAATAGCTATCAAGTACAACCAATGCTCCAGATGTTCCCTGAAGCACCATCTGGTATGGGCACCCTCGTTGAGAAGACATTAGAAGTAGCATAATAATCAATATACAGTATTGGTTATAACATCACCTATTGCAGGTTTGGCTACATATGAGGGGCTGGAAAATTTTCTTACCTTTTGACTCTATAATCTCACACTTAGGAGTAAGGGAGATTTGGGGGAGATAACCCAACAGAAGCAACAACAGCTCTTCAAAATTTGCCCTTGGGAAATAGGGTCACTGCAGATGTAATTAGTTAAATTAGGATGAGGTTATAATGCAGTAGGGTAGATTTCTAATTCAGTATGACTAATGTCCTCATACAAAGACAGCTGCATGAAGACAGACACACAGAAGATGTCGTGTGAAGAAGAGTTGGAGTGATGCAGCTATGAGCCGAGGAATGCCAGAGATTGCTACAAACCACCAGGACAAGGCAAGAAAGGACCCCCTTACAGGTTTTAGAGGGAGTGTGGCCCTGGCAACACCATGAATATGGATGTCTAGCCTCCAAACTATGAGACAATAAATTGATTTTGTCTTAAGCTGTTATTGCAGCCTAAAGAATCAAATACAATGGTCAATTGATTTTTGACAAGGGCTCCAAGACCAGGCAATGTGGAAAGAATCATCTTTTCAACAAAAGATCTTGAGAAAACTGGATGTCCATTTGCAACAATATGAATGTGGACCCTTACCTTATACTATATACAAAAATTAAAGAATAGATCAAAGTCTCAATTTAAAAGATAAAACTTTGTAGTTTTAAAGAAAACATGGAGGAAAAATTTTCATGACCATGGATGTAGCATTGACTTCTTAAATGGCACCAAAAGCACAGTTAATAAAACAAAAAATAGATAAATTGGACTTCATCAATATCAAAAACTTTTATGCATCAGAGAACATCATTAAGATATTTTCATATTTTTGACGACTAATTTTTCTTTAATTTTCTTAACTGCTGGAAGTCTCTGAAGCATAAAAATTGCTCCAAATTTAATCATAAATAAAAAAATAAAGCCATGTTGAAATTATTTTGACATAATGTACAATTTGCATTTTAAAAATATGTCTGTGGGGTGCCTAGGTGGCTCCTTCGGTTAAGCATCTGACTTTTGATCCCAGCTCAGGTCTTGATCTCAGGGTTGTGAGTCTGAGATTTAAAAAAATGTGTCCGGAAAAATTTACATTCATTGGTGTCTTAAATGTGTAGTTAGATTTCTGGAAACTGACTATAGCCTGTAATATGGAAGGTGTGTGTCTCGGTGTGCATCTTTGTGTGTTTGGTTTGTAATTCCATCTAGGATAGAGGACTACATTTGTGCTAATGATAATGGTAACTGTTTGGATCACTGAAGGAAAAAGAAGTAACATGTTCATGACGTAGGTGAATGCTGTGATTCTCATTAGTACAGGTGAAAAACGAAGGGGAAGGACACTATTAAGAGAGTGAAAAAGAACCCTCACAAAATGGTAGAAAATATTTATTTGCAAATCATGTATTTGATAAAAAATTAATATTTAGAATATATAAAGAACTCTTACAAGTCAACAAAAACAACAAACAACACAATTCACAAATGGACAAAGGACTTGAATAATATACAAATAGTCAATAAGCACATGAAAAGATTCTGTACAGTATCACTAGTCCTTGGGAAACATGTATCAACTACAGTGAGATACCGCTTCACACCCACCAGGATGGTTATAATTAAAAAAATGGAAAACAGCAAGTGTTGGTGAGGGTGTGGAAAGACTGAAACTCTTGTATACTGGTGGCAGAGTGTAAATGGTGCAGCACTGTGGGGAAAAGTTCAGCAGTTCTTCAAAAACTAGACTTACATTATGACCCAGCAATTCTGTTCCTAGGCATATACCCAAAGGAATTGAAAACAAGGACTCAAATAGGTACTTGCATAACAGTGTTTATAGCAGCATTATTCACAAAGGCAAGGAGGTAGAAACAACCCAAATGTTTGGAAATAACGGTGATGGTAATATATGACATTGTGAAATGTGCTTAATGCCACTGAACTGCACACTTAAACATGCTTAAAGTGGCAAATTTATGTTATATATTTTACCACAGTTTTTAAAAAGAGAGTCACAGGGTAGAGAGTGTGCTAGATCATCAGATTCAGGAAAGGATGGAAGCCTGAGAAAGGTTGGTAGGAAGACAAGGGACTGTTTGAGGGATTAAAGGTTACAGTGAGTTTGAACATAAGTTATTTTTAAAAAGTTTTAAAATATTTTTATTATTGAGAGACAGAGAGAGACAGAGACAGAGCATGAGCATGGGAAGGGTAGAAAGAGGGGGAGACAAAGATTCTGAAGGAGTTTCTAGGCTCTGAGCTATCAGCACAGAGCCCAACGTGGGGCTTGAACTCACAAACCGCGAGATCATGAACTGAGCCCAAGTCGGACGCTTAACCGACTGAGCCACCCAGGTGCACCAGCTATTTTTTTCTTAAGATTATTTATTTATTTTGAGAGAGACAGAAATAGCGCGAGTGGAGGAAGGACAGAATGAGATGGGGAGAGAGAGAGAATCCCAAGCAGACTCTGCACTGTTAGTGCAGAGCCAGGCGTGAACCTATGAGATCGTGTGATCATGACCTGAGCTGAAACCAAGAGTTGGATGCTGAAGCGACTGAGCCACCCAGTGCCCCTGAAGGGAAGGTATTTAGAGAGTAAGACTGAGAGAACTGAAAGAGTAGCAAAATGTGTTGACTAATACATTGGAATGTTAAAATTTCGAGTGTCGAATGTTTCCAGGTAATATAATTGAGGATGTGCCCATTGGTGTGGACTGCTTAAGAAATATGGGAAATAACAGTTTAGGGAGTTGAATGTGGTCAAACTCACACAGGAGGGCACCTGAAATAGGGTAGAAAGCAAGCCTGAGTTGGATATTGAAGATTATTAGATATCAGTGTTTGAATTTGCAGGAACCAAAAAGAAAAATGATTTATTTCTATGGTATTTCTTAGTTCTGTACTTATATTGTAGTGTTGACCCAGAGTTCGTTGAATTTTGTCTTATTGAACAAATTTTGATAAACTTGGTAGGTTACCAGTGGATAAGCCAGTCCTAAAGTTGAGAGGTATATAAATAGGTTCAGGCAATATTTCAGCTCTTCTGTGTAGGTACATATGTTTTTATATGATTGTGTGTATCAAGTAAAATGAAGGGAGGAAGCATTGGCTTCTTGCTTTTTAAAGTGTGTAACCAAGTCTTTAAAGGCCGTTTCATTAGATGGGTTTTGTTGTAGACATATGCACATTGTACTGCTTTAAAAAGAATATCTTTTTTGATAGAATTTGATGTAGAGTTACTTACCACATTATATTACTTACCACATTATATTACCACATTACATCATATTACTTACCACATTATAATTGTTACAAAATGTGTTCAGTTTATAAAATGAAAAAATCATTCGGCAAGCCCCATCTAATTAAATCCTACTTTGAGATTCCAGTGTTGCCTTTAATTTTGTTTTCTCTTGTGAAAGATCTTTTATTTAATACAGCCTCTGATTTATATTGAGTCTCAGAATAATGTTATTTAATATAGCCTCTGATTTATATTGAGTCTCAGAATACTGTTTTTTATCATTCTTAGGAAAACGGGAAATCATTTTCACAACTTCATTAGTTGGCAAGATCTAAGAGCCATTGAGCTTGTAAAATCTTGGAATAATTCACTCATTATGAAGGTAAACTTTTTCTTATCTTCTGGGATTTAGATATTACTATTTTCCCTGTAAATGTCTCTTAACTGTATAATCTCCTACCTGAGCAGTTTTGGACTGTTGAGAAGAGAATACACAGATGTACACTCCTCACATCAGGGAAACTTAATCATAGCTACCCAGAAGTACATGTGGTAGACTAAAGTACTTAACAACTACACTTCAGGAGGACCTGAGGTTTAGGATAAACCACAGTTTCTCATGTTGGGTGAGAATTCATATTGCCATTCTTGGAGAAGTAGACCATGTCCAGAAAAAATAGAGAAATGTCCAGATTTCATCATCTTTTGTTATAAAAGTGGAGAATGGATATTGAGACACATAACTATCTGATGGCCACAAGCTCTTCACCTGATGCCTGTCACATCGTGGTAGCAAATAACAGTGATCCTGACTATGACAGTGACAGCAGTGGTGGTGGCAACATAAGTGTGAGATTACTGAGTCAGAGGGTAAGACAGTTTTCCAAATGTGGCCAGATCTGCAGTCTGTGATGTTATAATTAATATTGCATATTGCAGTTTTACATATTATAATACCACACAGCTAAGTGCCTTTTCAGTTAGGGTGCTTGTACAGAATGGTGCTGCAAGGCGTATCTGGAGCATTGATTTTACTCAATAACTATTTGGAGACATTAATTTTATATGAAAACAAATATGAATATATTATAGAATATGACAGTAGTGCATGAGTGAAAGAAACACTTTTGCTGTAATGTCACCCACATTGGTTTTTCTTTTGTTAGTTTAATATATGAAGATGTACCTTGCTTTAATAATTTGTCAGAGTGAGTACTGAGAGATGCTGTTTACAAGAGGGAGTGATTAAAGAGCTGAAAATGAGTATAAGAAAATGTCATGAACTTTGAATGGTATAATTTAAAATTATACAGTTTATAGGGGTGCCTGGGTGGCTCAGTTGGTTAAGCATCTGACTCTTGATTTTTGGCTTAGGTCATGATCTCATGGTTTGTGAGTTTGAGCCCCACCTCAGGCTCTGTGCTGACAGTGCAGAGCCTGCTTGGGATTCTCTCTCTCCCTCTCTCTCTGCCCCTCCCCCACTCACTCTCTCTGTCTCAAAATAAATAAACTTAAAAAAATTTTTTTTAATTTAAAAAATTAAGTGACACTAATTTATAATGTATAGTTCTACATCTTAATGTATAATTTAGTTTTAAGTTGGTCAATTTATCAAGCTTTTTTTAGGTTAATCAGTGAGGTTTAAAACATTTATTCCTTTAAAAATAAGTCATGACATTGAAAACATTTACTTTTGTAATATGAACACCAAATCTCAAATCATGATATAAAACTGACTTCAGGGACTCCTGGGTGGCTTAGTCAGTTAAGTGGTTGACTTCAGTTCAGGTCACGATCTCTTGGTTCATGAGTTTGAGCCCTGTGTCAGACTCTATGCTGACAGCTCAGAGCCTGGAGCCGGCTTTGGATTCAGGGTCTCCCTCGCTCTCTGCCCTTCCCCCACTCACATTCTGTCTCTGTCTTTCTCATTAAAAAAAAAAATAGTAAAAATTGACTTCGAGCACAAAACTCAGTGTTTAAAGCACTTTTTCTACTCAATATTGAACATGTGCATCATGTAAGCTTTGGCTTCTCTTAGGAGAAAAATGTGCATGGATTCTTACAGGTTAGCACATGCTCTTCCAGGGACTGTCCTGCCAGTGGAGGAACCCCACCCTGCACCCATCCTATCCTAGATGCTTATGGTTTATTGACTGAGGCTCCTGGAAATGTTTAGGGTGTACATGCCAGAGATGGCACCAAAGTCATCAGTTTAGCCACGTTTAGCTCCAGGCAACAAAGTGAAGTAACTAAAATGTGTTGGCAATCTCCTGGCACCATTGTTTTCCTCCAGTCTTCCCAGCAGCCATGCTTCTTCTCACTGTTGTTCTGATGCTTGTTTGATGGTTGCTAAGGCTTCTCTGCTTTTAGCATAAAATCCTAACTCCCTACCATGGATTGGCCCCATCCACAACTCTGACCCTTTCCCAGAAGCTGCTGAGGATTCAGCCCCAGCTTTGCGAGCCTGCTTCCGTTCTTGTAGCACCCAAGCTGTCTCTCACCTTAAGGCCTTCGTACCTGCAAGGGGCTCTCCTGCCTTCAGGACTGGATTCCTCTCATCCTTCCAGGCCCAGCTCACCTGCCACCTCCTCTGTGTGAGGCCTTTCCTGCCATCCTATTTATACAGAGTAGTTTCACCCCCTGCCCCCAATCCAGTCTCTGTCCTTTATTTCTTTCACAGCACTTATCATTTTTCAAAGACTTTTTTTTTTTTTTCTAAATTTATTTCTAGGAGAGAGAGAGAGAGACAGCTTGAGCAGGGGAGGGTCAGAGAGAGAGGGAATCACAGACTGAAACAGGCTCCAGGCTCCGAGCTGGCAGCCAGCACAGAGCCCGATGCGGGGCCCGAACCCACGAACCGTGAGATCATGACCTGAGCGAAATTCGGACGCTCAACCGACTAAGCCACCCAGGCGCCCCTCAAAGACTTTGAGACATACATTTTTTTCAGTTGAAATTTTAATTGAGACAATTATAGACTCACATGCAGTTGTAAGAAATAATACAGGGATCCCTTATAGGCTCTGCAGTTTCTCTCAATGTAACTGTTTACAAAACTATAGCATAGTGTCACAACCAGGACATTGACAACAAAATGTTAACTGTATGTGAATTAAAAGTACAGGTGTTAGGGGCACTGCGTGACTCAGTCAGTGAAGCTTCTGGCTCCTGATTTCAGCTCAAATCATGATCTCACAGTTTGTGGGGCCGAGCCCCACTTTGGGCTCTGAGCCCACAGCACGGACCTGCTTGGGATTCTCTCTCCTTCCCTCTCTGCCCCTCCCCCACTTGCATGTGCTCTCTGTCTTTCTCTCTCAAAATAAATAAATAAACTTTAAGAAAAAAGTACAGGTATTAGAACTCTTAATAATTTTGTGTGCTCCCTGACCCCAGGTATCTGCATTTTAATAGAAGATCCCTGAAAGATTAAATCTAATTTTTTAAATAGAGGAAGGTATAGTGTTCTAAGGGAGAAAAAACTTCTTTCAGTTTGAAGCATTCTTTAACATATAACACATCAGAGGAAGGATTATGGGTGGTTCCGTTAGATACTTTAAGGATGTCTTATCTTTTATTAAACAGTGCCAAATATGTAGAAACAGGAAGTTTGAGCATGGAATAAGGTGAAAAGGAAGTTAAAAGGGTACAAACTTTCAGTTATGAGATGAATAAGGTCTGAGGATCTAATGTATAACATGATGACTGTAATTTATAACACTGTATTATATAATTAAAATTTGCTAAGAGTAGATTTAAGTGCTTTCACCAAAAAGAAGAGGAAAAAAAAAAAAGGACATGGAGCACTGGATGGCTAGGTAGCTGAATGCCTCCTGACTCTTGATTTCGTCTCAGGTCATGCTCTCATAGGTTCATGAGTTTGAGCCCCACATGGGGCTCTGCACTGACAGTGTGGGGCCTGCTTGGGATCCTCTCTCTCTCCCTCTCTTTCTGCCCCTCCCCCACGCTCTCTCTTTACCTCTCTCAAAATAAATAAACTTAAAAAAAAAGACAAAACTGAAGTGTAGAGAGAATTGAGTCTATACATTCTCTTGATTGTTACACTTATTTTAGTAAATACACCCATCTTTCAGTAAATACACCCATCTTTAGTAAATACACCCTTATTTTTTAGGGAAGGAGTGGGCAATAACAGAGGAGAAAATGCAAGAAGGGGGTAAATTCTCTATAAGTGAATATTCTGTAAAACATGAGGCTCAAAAGTTGAATTGTCCGTCTCCATTCTTGTAGTCGGTGGCAGGATAGAGTTTTTATTTTTGATGTGTGTGTGTGTGTGTGTGTGTGTGTGTGTGTGTGTGTGTATTTTTACTATGTATTACAAACCTTAAAACTCAAAGCAGATTTTCTGTGAGAGGCTTTTTTTTTAATTAAAGATTTTGCTTACTAAAAAGTAAATTTAAAGCTATATATATTTCATCTTCGATTTTGTTAAGTATAGGTAGTGTCCAATGAAATCATACATCCCAATTTTAGGTACTTGATGTGTAGGGGAATTTCCTTTATGGGTTAATAGTTACCTCATTAAAAATATATTTCTTTTTTTTAATGTTTTTTTTTTTTTAAATTTACTTCTGAGAGCGAGAGAGAGAGACAGCGTGAGCAGGGAGGGTCAGAGAGAGAGGGAGACACAGAATCTGAAACAGGCTCCAGGCTCTGAGCAGCTGTCACCACAGAGCCTGACTTGGGGCTCAAATCAATGAACTGTGAGATCATGACCTGAGCTGAAGTTGGATGTTTAACTGACTGAGTCACCCAGGTGCCCCTAAAAATATATTTCTAATAGGAATATAGTCTTATGCCTTTACTCTCTCCCTTTCTTTTTCTTATTTTTTAAGTTTTTTTTTTTTTTTTNTCTCACATAGAAATACATAAAACATTAAATAAAATTTTTATTATTTTTTATTTTTTTTTTTTTTTTTTGTAATCTCTGCACCCAGTGTGGGGCTCAAACCTACAACCCTGAGACCAAGAATCACATGCTTCTCTGACTGAGCCAGCCAGACGTCCCTCTCCCTTTTATTTTAAAAGATTTTATCTTGAGCTTTTTGTGTTTATTAAAGAAGATCATAGTAAATGTGTTATATCTCATGTTAGAATGCAAATGTCGTCCACTTGGGGTAATACTGCTTTACTTCATTTTCTTAGGTGCCGAGAACACTAGAAGTTGTTGAATGATTTGTTATCGGGTTTATTTTCATATGTGTAGAATTAATATAGAAATATCAAACACCATTAAGTGCATTTTCCTAAAATATCTTTTTTCCTACTAGCTAATACAGAGTTCCTGCCGACTGCTGCACCTTTTCACTAGAAATAAACGATTTTTAGCAGTCAGTTTGTTCAGTTTCACAAACCAGCATGTTTCTTTGAGATTGGCCTGGATTTTACAGAACCTGGTTGAGGTAAGGAAAGATTTTGTGTGTGCGTTGTATGTGTGTGGGTGTAGACTACAGGAAATACAGAATTAAAGGAATAAAGCACTGGGTGATATATGTAAGCCAACTTGACAATAAACTAAGAAAAAAAAGAAACAATAAAACAAAAGAGTAAAGTGGTTAATATAATGAAAAAAAAAAGAATTAAAGGAATAAAGATAGTAATTTGATTATTTGAGGGAAAATTATGTCCACTACATATTGGGATAGAATACAAGGAATCTTTACTTAGTTTGTTTTAAGCCTTTTTTATTATGAGTTATAACATATACAGAAAACCCAATCAAACAAAAATATACCAGTCAGTGATACATTCTGGAGCAAAACACCTGTGTAACACTACTTGCATCAAGAAACAGAACGTTGTGAAACTGTGTATCAGATATGTTTCTTTCTTAACACTATCTTTTCGTTTTATCTGAATTTTTTCGAATTTTGGATAAATGGAATTCATGTTTATTTTTTTGTGTCTGACACCTTTTAACATTATATTTGTGAAATATACCCATATTGGGCATAAATTAATTTTCTTACATTTTCATTGCTATTTAGTGTTCAGTGTATGATTCTATCTCTATCCCTTCGTTCATGTACATTTGAGTTATTTCTAGTTCGGGGCTATTATAAATTGTACTGTCACTGCAGTACATATAAATGCATTTCTGCTACATCTATACATGGGAATGGAATTTTTAGGGCATGAATGGATATGTATATCTTCAACTTTAGTGGATAATGTCAAAGGTTTCCCACAGTTTTTGACAGTTTACATACCTACTGTCAGTCAATGTCAGTCAATGAGAGGACTTCTTATTTCATTTATTATCATACTTGATATTACCAGGGATTTTTTTTAGCCATTTTGGTACATAAATCATGATCTCTTGTTGTGATTTTAGACTGATAAAAAAAAGAAGATCCAACTGTATGCTGTCTATAGGAGAAATATTTTAGATTCAAAAATACAAATCAGTTAAAAGTAAAAGGATGGAAAAGATCTCTCATGCAAACAGCATCCATAAACTAAGTGGCTATAATATTAGCAAAATAGACTTTAACACAAAAAATGTTACGAGAGATAAAGAAGAGCATTTTGTAATAAGTCATTCCATCAGAAACATATAACAATTATAAACATATATGCATGTAGTAACAGTGCTTCAAACAAATGAAGCAAAAATTGTCAGAATTAAAGGGGAAGGTAAACAATTCAAAAGTAATAGTTGGAGACTTCAACACTCCACTTTGATAATGGATAAAACAATTAGACAGAAGCTCAACAAAGAAATAGCAAACTTGGACAACAGTATAAACTAACTAGACCTTTTATAGAGATCTCCAATAATAACAGAATATGCATTCTTAAGTGCACATGTGGTATTCTCCAGGATAGATCACATGCTACACCATAATACAAGCCTTACTAAATTTAAAAGGACTGAAATTATACAAAATATTTCTTTGATAATGAATGAAGTTAAACATAGTTAACAGATATGGGGCTCCTGGCTGACTTAGTAGGTGGACCATGGGACTCTTGATCTCAGGGTTGGGCATCAAAGCCCCACGTTGGGTGTAGATTACTTAAAAATAAAATCTTTATAGGGCACCTGGGTGCCTCAGTTGGTTAATCTTCTGACTCTTGGTTTCAGCTTAGGCCATGATCTCACCTGAATTCGAGTCCCACATTGGGCTCTCTTCTGTCAAAATGTGGAGCCTGCTTGAGATTCTCTCTCTGCCCCACCCCTGCTCATCCTTGCTCTCTCTCTCAGAATAAATAAGTAAACATTAAAATAAAATGAAATTCTCAACTAATTTGACAATAAACTATTTGTAAAAAAAAAAAAAAAAAGAATGTGGAAACCACAAAAAAAAATAAATAAATAAAATGAAATTCTTAAAAACATAATTAAACATAATTAGCAGAAAGAAATTTGGGGAGTTCAAAAATATATGGAAATCAGGGGCACCTGGGTGGCTCAGTTAAGCGTCTGACTTCGGCTCAGGTCGTGATCTTACAGTTCGTGGGTTCGAGTCCCATGTCAGGCTCTGTGCTGACGGCTAGCTCAGAGCCTGGAGCCTGCTTCGGATTCTGTGTCTCCCTCTCTCTCTCTGACCCTCCCCTGCTCACGCTGCCTCTCTCTCTCAGAAATAAATAAAACATTAAAAAATTTTAAAAATATGGAAATTAGTATACTTAAAAAACTTTTTTAACTTTTTTTTTTTTTTTAATTTTTTGAGAGGCAGAGTGTGATCAGGGGAGGAGCAGAGAGAGAAAGAGACACAAAATCCAAAGCAGGCTCCAGGTTCTGAGCTGTCAGCCCAGAGGCGAACGCAGGGCTCAATCTCACAATCTGTGAGATCATGACTGAGCTCAAATCAAAAGCTGGACACTCAACCGACAGAGCCACCCAGGTGCCCCATGTATACAGACTATATTAACAAAGCATCTAACATTCTACCTTAAAACACTGGCGAAAGATAGCAAACTGAACCCACAGGAGCAGAAGGGGAGAAATATAAAGATTGGCATGAAAATTAATGAAACAGAAAATAGAAAAACAGTTGACAAAATCAACAACACAATGGTTTTTCCATGTCTTTTTATGGCTTGGTAGCGCATTTCTTTTTGTCACTGATTAGTTATTTCACTGCGTAGGTTGTTACAATTCGTTTATCCAATCTCTTGTTGAAGGACAGTGCTTGTTCTAATTTTTGGCACTTGTGAATAAAGTTGCTATAAACGTTTGTGTGCAGGTTTTTTTATGAACGTAACTTTCAGCATATTTGGGTAAATACCTAGGTGTGCAGTTGCTAGATCAGATAAGACTATGTTTAGCCTTGCAAGAAAATGCCTATCCGTATTCCAAAGTGCCTACACTGTTTTATACCCTGGCTACCAACAATGAATGAGAGCTCCACATCCTTGCTAACAATTGATACCAGTTTTGGATTTTAGCCATTCTAATAGGTGTGAGGTAGTATCTCACTGGCTTAATTTGTAATTCTTTAACATAACAATATGATAAAGAAATATGAGTTTTCTTTTTAAACATTGGCAAGAACTTCTAGTATATATTGTCTAGAAGGGATGGCCACATACATTCTTTTCTCATTCCTGATCTTGGAACAAAAGCTTTCAACATTTCACCATTTAGTAAGAATATGTAGTAGGTTTTTTTTTTCTTTTTCTTTTTAAATGTTTATTTATTTATTTTGGGAGAGAGAGTGTGCTCATGGAAGGGGCAAAAAGAGAGGAAGAGACAATCCAAGCAGGCTCTGTGCTGTGCTGTCAGTGCAGGGCCCAACACACTGCTCAGGCCCAGGAACTGTGAGACCAGGACCTGAGCTGAAATCAAGAGTCAGATGCTTAACCAACTGAACCACCCAGGTGCCCATGTAGTAGGTTTTCTTGCACCGGGTTGGCTCAGTCGGTTGAGCATCTGTCTGACTTTGGCTCAGGTAATGATCTCACAGTTTGTGAGTTCAAGCCCCACATTAGGCTTGCTGCTGTTGGTACAGAGCCTGCTTCAGATCCTCTGTCCCCTTCTCCACTCACGCACGTGCTATCTTTCAAAAAATAAACATCAAAAAAAAGATAACCTTTCTGAAATTAAGGAAATTCTCTATCATTCCTAGTTTGCTAAGACTTTTTTAAAAAAAATTTTAATGTTTATTTTTGAGAGAGAGAGAAAGAGACAGACAGAATACAAGCAGGGAAGGGGCAGAGAGAGATGGGGACACAGAATTCAAAGAAGGTTCCAGGCTCTGAGCTGTCAGCCTACAGCCCAATGTGGGGCTTGAACTCACGACTTGGAAGATGATGACCTAAACTGAAGTTAGATGTTTAACTGACTGAGCCACCTAGGTGTCCCTTCCAAGACTTGTTATTATTAGTGGAAGTTGAATTTATCAAGTACATTTTCTGCACCTATTGTCTAGGAGTGGCAGCCTACTTGAGGTTTGTAACCCTACAAACCTTGAATTTATTGCTTCTGTTGATATTAAAAATTTTGCAGCCATTATTTTCAAAAGTCATTTCTAGTCCATTCTCTTTATCTCCTTTCCTCCTAGAAAACTGGATTATATGCATGTTAGACCTTCTCATTAAAGGTCCCCTTTGTCTCTCACTCTTTCATATTTTCCATTCTTTTGTCTTTTTGTACTTCATTCTGGATATTTTCTTCTAACCTCTCTCCCATATCTATTCTTTCTTAAGCTGCTTCTAATGTGCTATTAAAACTCATCCATTAAGTTATTAATTTTTTAGTTCTAGAAGTTTTATCTTTACATAATTAATACGGTATTTTAAAGTCCATGACTATTAATTCTAGTGTCTGTCGCCTCTGGACTCTGTCTTTCCCTCTCTTCTATTTTCATGTTCTTTTGTTTCCTCAGATGCCTGATTATTGCATTTCTTTTAAATTTAAAATGCTTAATGGATGTATGATTAACATACAAAAAGCTGAACATATTTAATATATACAACTTGATGAGTTCGGTGAGCCTAGTTACTTATTCGTATGCATATGTATGTATATCAGCTAGACATAGTATTTGGAAAATTGTGTGTAGAAATTATGAGAGCCTTAACTTAGCACTCTCTTGCCCTGGATAAGATTTATGTTTGTTTCTTCCATTTTTCTAGACACCAGGATTACCTCAATCCACTTTAGTGATTGAGATGATTTAAAACTGAGTTGCAGTTCCTGTGAGAGCCTGTCTTTCTGGTTTCCCCTTAGTCATAGAATAGAGTCATTTGGAGTCTTAGCCCAAAGCATGGAGGATCGACCTTGATCCTCCTACCTTGGGAAGTCCTAATATCAACTCTCTTGATAGTCTCAAATCAACCTACTACCTCTCAGAGGACCGGGCTTTCAAATATTTTTTAAATGAACAGATGAATTTACTACTTGCCAGGCATTGTTGCTACTCACTGAAATTACTTTTGTCTAATCTGGAACAAATTTTAGAATCGCAATTTCTAAATTTAAAGAGAGTTTGAAATAAAGTAATAAGCACTCCATACTTGAATGGAATCTTTAAAATACTTGTTATAAATAATCTCCAGATAACTTCCTCTTTGGAATATATGTCACGTTTTCATTTTATTAATCCTTTCTACTTTTGAAATATAATCCATCCTTAAATGTATTCATTTGCCATTCTTTTTATCTTATTTTTTTTAAACTTTTTTTTAACGTTTTATTTATTTTTTAGAGAGAGAGAGAGACAGCATGATCAGGGGAGGGTCAGAGAGAGAGGGAGATACAGAATCTGAAATAGGCTCCAGGCTCTGAGCTAGCTGTCAGCACAGAGCCCAACGCGGGGCTCGAGCCCACGAACCGTGAGATCATGACCTGAGCCGAAGTCGGACGCTTAACCGACTGAGCCACCCAGGCACCCCATTATCTTATTTATTTAGGAGGCATTTTTTAAAACATCTATTATATGCCAGGAACCCTCCTAGGTGTTGGGCTTATAAATATGAATGCAATTTAGTTCTTACTCTTCAGTAGTAAGCTACTTAAGGCTAAGGGCTCTAGTAGGGAAGTAATGACGTTGTAAGATAATGGCCATATGGAAGTTAGCCATTGGATGCCGAGTTTGGCAAAGCCAGGAAATGCTAGTCTTGATGGATAAATAAGAGTTAGAAAGGTGGTGAAGTGTGATGTAGGGCATTGTTTTCACTATATTAATAATATCTTTAGGGGCGCCTGGGTGGCTTAGTCGGTTAAGCGTCCGACTTTTGCTTAGGTCATGATCTCGTGGTTCGTGGGTTCGAGCCCCGCGTCGGGCTCTGTGCTGACTGCCAGCTCAGAGCCTGGAGCGTGTTTCAGAGTCTGTGACTCCCTCTCTCTCTGACCCTCCCCTGCTCACGCTGTCTCTCTCACTCTCTCTCCTAGAAATAAAAAAAATAATAATAATTAAAAAAAATAATATCTTTAAAAAAATATCTTGGGACACCTGGCTGGCTCATTTGGTAGAGCATGAGATGCTTGATCTCAGGGTTGTGAGTTCGAGCCCCATGTTGGGCACACAGCCTATTTAAAAAAAATGGTAATAATGATATTTTGACAAGTATTTCATTTTCTCTGTTAGCTATTTTAAAGAGTTTTTGATACTTTTGTTTCCTGTGGCATGCTTTATACTAAGGATTAGCAAATTTTTTCTGTAACATGCCATTTAGTGATAATTTAAACTTTGAAGGGGGCGCCTGGGTGGCTCAGTCTGTTAACTGTCTGACTTCGGCTCAGGTCATGATCTCATGGTTCGTGGATTGAGCCCCGCATCAGGCTCTGTGCTGACAGCTCAGAGCCTGGAGCCTGCTTCGGATTCTGTATCTCCCTCTCTCTGTCCCTCCCCGCCGCAAATTCTGTCTCTCTCTGTCTCAAAAATAAATAAACATTAAAAAAATAGTTAAAAAATTTTATCTGTGGACACTGAAATTTGAATTTCATGTACTTGTTATATGTTACAAAGTATTCTTTTTAAAGACAGTTATAAAATTTACTTTAAAAATTTTTTTAAACATTTATTATTAAGAAATAGAGACAGAGCATGAGCATGGAAGGGGCAGAGAGAGGGGAAGACCCGGAATCCGAAGCAGGCTCCAGGCTCTGAGCTGTCACCACAAAGCCCAACGCAGGGCTTGAACCCACCAGTGGTGAGATCATGACCTGAGCCAAAGTTGGACACTGAAGTGACTGAGCCACCCAGGTGCCTCCTCGACAGTTATAAAATTTGAAAACCATTCTTCACTTGCTGTACAGTTAGGCAGTGGGTTGAATTTGAACTGTGGTCATAGTGTACCATCCCCTGTTTTAGACTTCTTAAAAATAAGTTAGAGATATTTGTATGTCTAAAAACATGTATATATACTTTGTTTATTCATCACAAAGCTAACACACGTTTCATGTAAAATCGAAGCCTTTTATACCTTATAGTAATTGCTTAGAACTGTTTGGGGGTATGTTTTAAAAATAGTTTCTTTATAGCTTTATTTCTTTTTTTTTTTTTTTTATTTTTTTTTTTAATGTTTTATTTACTTCTAGGAGAGAGAGAGAGAGAGAGAGAGACAGCGTGAGCAGGGGAGGGTCAGAGAGAGAGGGAGTCACAGACTCTGAAACACGCTCCAGGCTCTGAGCTGGCAGTCAGCACAGAGCCCGACGCGGGGCTCGAACCCACGAACAGTGAGATCATGACCTAAGCGAAAGTCGGACGCTCAACCGACTAAGCCACCCAGGCGCCCCGCTTTATTTCTTTTTTTTAATTAAAATAATTTCTTTTTAGAGAGAGAGGGCATGAGCAGGGGAGAGGGGCAGAGAGAGAGAGAATCCCAATGCAGTGCTCAGTCTCACAAACCATAAGTTCAGGATCTGAACTGAAACCAAGAGTCACATGCTCAACTGACTGAGCCATCCAGGTGCCCCTGTATATATTCATTCTTATAAAAAATGGGATTATATTGCATTTACTGATTAAATTTAATTGTGTACTTAATAATTTAATTTCTTTGAGTCAGTTTTGTGCCATTGTGTTTTTAAGGTGCAAAAGGCAGTTGAAGAAGATAATTGCTGCTTTGGGACAATTGATACCTGGTTGTTACACAAGCTCACAAAAGGTAAAGATGGTCTGATTGATCTATCTTAAGTAACTGAAAATATGTTTTGTATTTTATTTACTTATTTTTTTATAATGTATCATCGAGTTAGCTAACATACAGTGTATATAATGTAGTCTTGGCTTCGGGAGTAGATTCCTGTGATTTGAAATTTTTTTAAATGTTTATTGTGAGTGAGCAAGTGGGGGAGGGGCAGAGAGAGAGAGGGAGAGAGAGAATCCCAAGCAAGCTTTGAGCTGTCAATGCAGAGCCCAATGTGGGGCTCAAACTCATAAACCATGAGATCATGACCTGAGCTAAAATCAAGAGTTGGATGCTTTACCCACTGAACCACCCAAAAACCCCCCATGTAACTGAAATTTGACTGCTAGAAATGTTTCACCTAAAAAAATAGAAGTTACTTTTTCTTCTTCCATATCTCAAATATACTGTTCTTTGGTACCCCAGTAACTTCATGCAATAGTAAAGCTACATTACTTTTAAATTTGCAAGAGGATTTTTATTTTTTATTTTTTTAATGCTTTATTTATTTATTCATTTATTTTTTACATTTGTTTATTTTTGAGAGACAGAGACAGAGCACAGGTGGGAGAGGAGAGAGAAAGAGACACAGAATCTGAAGTAGGCTTCAGGCTCTGAGCTGTCAGCAGAGCCCCACCCAGGGTTCGAACTCAAAAACCATGAGATCATGACCTGAGCCGAAGTCAGATGCTTAACCAACTGAGTCACCCAGGCATCCCTTGTTTATTTCTGAGAGAGAGAGAGAGAAAGAGAACGAGCGTACAAGCAGAGGAGGTGCAGAGATAGAGGGGGACAGAGGATCAGAAGCAGGTTCTGTGCTGTCAGCAGCCACCCTGATGTGGGGCTCGAATTAACAAAGCACAAGATCATGACCTAAGCCAAAGGCAGACACTCAACTGACAGAGCCACCCAGACACCCCAAAGAAGGTGATTTTTGGGGCACCTGAGGGGCTCAGTCAGTTAAGCATCCGACTTCAGCCCATGTCATCATCTCATAGTTCGTAGATTCGAGCCCTGTGTCGGGCTCTGTGCTGACAGCTAATAGCCTAGAGCCTGCTTTGGATTCTATGTCTCCCTCTCTCTCTGCCCCTCCCTGCTCACACACACACTCTCTCTCTCAAAAGTAAATAAACATTAGCGGAAAAAAGGGTGATTTTTAAATTGTAGTAGAACCTCAAATAGAAAGTGAAGAAACAGTCTTAATTTCAAAAGTGGTAAGACGAGTTAAATGTGTGGGCAGCTTTGCAGCTAGGCAGCTACAGGCATTCACTTGCATCTTTGAACCCCTTTCCTTATCTTGAAACTGGAGGTCATGATGTGACAATGTATATGAAAGTAGTTTTGTAAACTGTAAAAGTTCAAAAAGATGAAGTGGGTAATTCCTTTGGAGACTTGTACTGGAAATACATATTTTTGAATGAATTTGAGGCCAAAGCTCTAACTTATAAACTAGGGATAGTTGTTGACTGACACTACCTGATAATATATTATTTTCAATGTAAATCTAGGTTCTGAATTTGCCACAGATTTTTCAAATGCCAGCACAACTGGGCTGTTTGACCCTTTTAAGGTAAGATTTTTTTCCCTTCCTTTTCAATCACCAATTTTTATATCATTTGCTTGGATTCTGATGGTATATTTTTATACTCAGATGTGTTGGAGTGGGCTCCTGACTTCCCTGCTTTCAATACCATTGTCTCTCCTGCCTCCTGTGAAGGATACGAGGTAAGAATGGACATCAGATACAGAAACCAGCAAAATTTTGCTTTAGTAGGGAAAGCATTTTATTATTTGCTGAGATGATTGTATATCCATGATATAATTTTTTGGACTATGCGGAAATCAATTTGTTGCATTTTATTTATTTTTTTTTATTTTTTATTTTTATTTTTTTTAATTTATTTTTATTTTTTTTTTTTTTACAAATAGTTTATTGTCAAATTAGTTTCTACATAACACTCAGTGCTCATCCCCATGCATTTTAGAATTAATATTTTTAGTGCTGTAACTGACTCTTTAATCAATTTTATTTGAAGCCACAATTTTGGATCAGTGGACGAAGAGATATTTGGTGTGCCTATACCAATAGTGGCCTTGGTAAGTAGAAAACTTGAGGGTTTCTCCATGTATAGTATAAAGTAACTAATATATATGAATAGTTGGGATTAGATTTAAGAGACATAGAAAGTCCTTACAGAATAAAATTAATTTTTTTCTTTTTAAGTAAAAGTGCTCTGGATTATAATCAGAAGTATTTTTTGTATTCTGGAAAGGGGTTCATTGGGCCTTACATGAAAGCAGTTTATGATCTTTCCTGAATTTTATATGTATGGCTTTTCAGAAAACTGTTACTTTTTAAAAAATGTTATATTCTGAGTAATGTGTGGTTTATATTTGATACTCTGAGACAAAAATCAGGGATAGAGCCAATGCTTATTATATCTGATACAGTGTAACCAAATGGTGACAAAACAATTTAAAGTAAAGAAGAATGTTATATTCATGTTGTATAAAATTCTTAGCCAGTATGTACCAGTAGAGAAACTGGAAGAGTGAAAAATTAGCTGGTTGAGGTTTTTGAGGATTCTTTCTTGATTGTACTCTTTCTGTCTGGATGAAAGAGCTAGAACTTAGAGAATCTCAAGGATTTACCAGCTGGTAGAGGGGCTGTGTTGAAACTCTGACCTTGACTTTGATTTCCTATAATAGCTTAAGCAGAAAATATAGACTGTCTTTCCCTAGATGGTTGGTTGCCATAGTAGATGGAGGAATCGGGTGAGAGAAAGGGAATTTAATTCCCAAGTTACAAATTCCTTGTCACTTAGAGAGGATTAGACTTCTTCAACCTAATGGTAGGCGCAGGTTTAGATGAGGTATGGCTGGAAGAACTGAATGTTAGTGACAAAGTGTTCTTCAGATAAATTTTGTCCTTATAATATTGCTGTACTTTGTTAAAAAGATGGTTGCCTGACTGGCTTAGTGAGTAGAGCACAAGACCTTTGCTCTTGGGGCTGTAAGTTTGAGCCCCACATTGAGTGTAGAGATTACTTAAAAATAAAATCTTGGGGCCCCTAGCTGGCTCAGTTGGTTAAGCATCAGGTCATGATCTCATGGTCCTGAGATAAGCCCCACGATGGGCCCTGCACTGGGCCTGTATCCTGCTTAAAATTCTCTCTCTCCCTCCCTCCCTGACTCTCTCTCCCCAGAAACAAACAAAATTAAAATAAAATCTTTAAAAAAAAAAAGAAAGAAAACCAAAGGCCCCAAATAGTAAACCAAGACTTAATACTAGCTAGTCTAACAGTTTCAGCTCCCAGAAATGTAACCTTTAACTAGTCAGCATGGGAATTTTCCATCGGCCCTACAAAATTTACTGAGAGACCCCTTTCATTTCCCTTAGGAAGCTAGTTTTCTCTAAAACAATGACTTTTTGTTGCTAATAATTTTCTTTTTTCCACTCCCTCTCTACCTTTAAAAATCTTTCTTTTTCTGGGGTGCCTGGGTGGTCAGTCGGCTAAGTATCCAACTTCAGCTCAGGCTAGATCGCGCGGTTTTTTAGTTTGAGCCCCACATTGGGCTCTGTGCTGACAGCTCGGAGCCTGGAACCTGCTTCAGATCTGTCTCTGTCTTTCTCTGCCCCTCCCCTGCTTCTGTTCTATCTCTTTCTCTCAAAAATAAATGAACACTAAAAAAAAAATTTCTTTCTCTGTAGCTCTTAGCAGCCCCCACTGCTTGCTAGATGGGATGCTGCCTGATTCATGAATTGTTTAATAAAACTAATTAGAACTTTAAAATTTACTCGTTTAAAGTTTTTGTTATTAAACAGATTTGGTGGCAGGCAGTGACAAGATCCAAAGTGAATTTCCAGCAGCATTCAGGGACAACAAGAAACACAGGCATGGTTTCCTGCACACCCTTTGAATTCACTGTCTTTCTCGCTGTTTCTGAGGGCTGTGGGTAAGTTCCCTCTTGGTTCTGAGCTCTGCTCTTTGTGCATTCAAGCTCCTGCAATCTAACTGGCTTTCCTTTACAGGGTGGGTTAGCTTGAGCTGCCAGAAGGTTATGCCCAGGGCTGGCAGTTTTGCCTGGAGCTTGACTGAGCTGACAAAAGGGTCTGCCCAGAACCAAATCCCTAGCCTTTCAGACCACAATTTCCCTTGAATTGTTAGAAAACCCCACCAAGATTCCCCAAGAATTGGTGGTGGTGAGCACAGGGCCTTCTCTTGACCAGGACACAGCAACATCTCTGGGTTGTTGCTAATACATTATGTTGCACATGTTTGTCTTGTTTTATGTAGATAGAAGCTATTGCTGTCAGGGCTCTCAGAGGCCGACAACCTGTAAAATTGGTGGGCATAAGTTGAGCATTTAAAGGGTGTTAGAGCGCTCACCGCCTCAAGAAAATAGAGGAAGTTGATCACAGAGTGGGTTAAATTGATACAAGTTCACTCACCAACCTCAAGAAAACTTCTATACAGTAAGGTACACTGTAAAATATGCATGATCCCCAACCCAGCAGCTCCAACCTAAAATCCCTTTTAGGGATTAGTTCAGCTCCAAGAATCTCAAAGCCTTAGCTAATGGTATCTTAAAATTCTAAAAAGTAAAGCATGCCACCTCTGGCACACCTGCTTACTATATATCTAAGAACTAAGTACTGGAAGTTGCAGATAGATATCTTGCAAAAATGGCAGAATCTTACTAAGCTTATTTTGGTAACCATTAGGTTGGGGGAGGGATCCCAAAATAAGGCCAGAAATATGAGTGGCACCCCATTTGTAGCTACATACGGCTGGAGAGAAAATATGGGTTAACTCCATTTGTGCCTAGAATCCTACCAAACTGGAATTTGGTTGTAGGAAATTACAACCTAGAAATACAGTGGCTGTTATGGGAACATTCCAATTAGATAAGATCATTTAAAAAATGCACTGGGGGTGTGCCTGGGTGGCTCCTTCGATTAAGTGTCCAACTTTGGCTCAAGTCACGAACTCCTGGTTTGTGGGTTTGAGCTCCGTGTTGGGCTCTATGCTGACAGCTAAGAGCCTGGAGCCTGCTTCAGATTCTGTCTCCCCCCTCACTGCCTCTCCCCAGCTCGTGATTTGTCTCTCTTTCTCTGTCTGTCTTTGTCTCAAAAATAAACAAACAAACAAAAAAGTGCACTTGGAAGCAAGGATTCCCAAATTAAACAGAATGGGACACTTGTTTTAATTGGCAAGCAGAAGCCTCCAAAAGGTTTTGAAATTCCCAAGTTGTTTCATTAAAAGATTCATTGTAAAAGGCTAATGAAAAAATAAAGATAGAAGAGGCACCCCAAACAAAAAGGCTGCTCCCCTCTTTCCTCCTTGTAGATCTCATTCCACTCATCCTCAGTCTGAATTGTTTTTCCATTCTGAAAAGACTACACAACCATAAACAAACTCTACCATATTAATGGCCTTATAGACATCCCTGAATTTACCTTCGAAGGAGGACACCCACAGGGTCCCCTCCTAGAGTTGTTGAAACTGAGGAATTTTCTGGTAAAACTGCTACATCACTGCATTAAACAGCCAAGGAGAAACTCTGGTAGACACCAGACCCTGCAGAGGGGATCCTGGAAAAACTGGCAGAAGCCAGCAAAGGGTGAAAGTTCTTTTCTTTCTTTTTTTTTTTTTTTTAAGTTTATCTATTTTGTGAGAGAGAGTGTGCAAGTGTGAGCACACACACATATGGGAAGGGGCAGAGATAGAGGGAAAATCCCAAGCAGGCTCTTCACTGTCAGCAGGGAGTAAAGGGTGAAAATTCTTACCAGGATCAGTTCCTTCCAAATCTCAGTCTGTAGTACCCAGTCCAAAGAGGAAAATAAAATTTCACATTGTCCCTTCCTTTTCAAATTCAAATTCATTGGTGCTTAATCCTTTTCTTCCAGAGATACATAGTGCATTCTTATTTGTCTGGTTTTGCGTGACTGGTCTTGGCTTTTTGCCCTCCTGGGACATGCAGGTTTGGGTTCTTTATTTTGACTATCATTGAGAGTGACTCTGGATCTTGAGAAGGTAGTATCTTTTGCACCTCTTCAGGGACCCCTTTTACAGTCATAGGGGTTTATTCAGTACCACCAGAAATGTTCAAAATTAGAAGCATGTCCCTAGAAGAAAATGAAGCAAATGAAAATAATATAGTTGGATAGGTGGATCAACCTATGTCATGTAAGTTACAACCCAATTGTTAGAGGAATTGAAAGCAACTGTCCTTATCTTACAAATCTTCATAAAACTAAAACCATAGCTCTAGAGGCAATCCAGAGTTTACCTATTGCTTTAGCAGTCCCAGAATTGCCCCCGATTTTTAAATATTTAAAACATTTTTTAGTTTATTTTTGAGACAGAGAGAGACAGAGCATGAGTGGGGGAGGGGCAGCGAGAGAGGGAGACACAGAATCCAAAACAGGCTCCAGGCTCTGAGCTAGCTGTCAGCACAGAGCCCAACGTGGGGCTCGAGCCCATGAACCGTGAGATCATAACCTGAGACGAAGTTGGACGCTTAACCGACTGAACCACCCAGGTGCCCCTTAATATTTTATTTTTATTTTTGAAAGAGAGAGACAGAGTGCAAGTGGGGGAGGGGCAGAGAGAGAAGGGGACACAGAATCTGAAGCAGGCTCCAGGCTCTGTGCTGGCTCTAACCCATGAACTGTGAGATCATGACCTGAGCTGAAGTCAGCCGCTTAACTGACTGAGCCACCCAGGTGCCCCCAAAATTTAGGTAAACTTTTAAATAGTTTCCTAAATCTTTTTGGTAACCCAATGTCTTAAGATTTTGCTGAATTAGGTTAAGTAATGAGTTAAGTTTAATTCATCAATATCTAAATCATTTGTAAATAACAGAAAACACTAAAACATTAATTATTGAACATAAGTTTATCTACTTGTGGCTTCTTATTCCAGAAAAACTAAAATATAATTGGATGTGTTAGTGATGTGGAAATATTGGGGTTCAGAGCCAAGGGCCAAGAAAGAATTCTTGAGACATCTTCAGTGCAAAAAGGTGGTTTTATTAAAGCATGAGGACAGGACCTGAGGGCAGAAAGAGTCTCACAGGTGTACTGACAGGTA